CTACTGCGGGTATTGATGCTGCCCTTGGTGTGACAGCCTTGGCTATGCTGTACATTATCCGTTCGGGTTGCAACTATGGTGCTCGCAAGTACCCTCGCCAGGCTAAAGTGTGGTTCTTCGCGTCGACTTTGCGCACTGTCTTCGTCATCCTCTTCTACACCATGATCAGTGCGGCAGTCAACATTCACCGCAAGGATAACCCGATGTTTGATCTTCTGGGCAGTGTACCAAGAGGTGCGTTTGATATTTGATATGTCTATTTTTCGAGGGTAGTCAACTGACTTTACATGTGTGCCCTTCAGGTTTCCAAGATGCGGCTGTCCCTGTTGTCAACGCCAGGATCATCAAGGTCTTTGCCAGTCAGCTCCCTGCCTGCGTTATCGTCCTCCTTATCGAGCATATCGCAATCTCCAAGTCCTTTGGCCGTGTCAACAACTATACCATCGAGCCGTCCCAAGAATTGGTCGGAATTGGTGTGACCAACCTTCTTGGCCCTTTTCTGGGCGCGTACCCTGCCACCGGATCCTTTTCCCGGACTGCCATCAAGTCGAAGGCAGGTGTTCGGACTCCCTTGGCCGGCTGTATCACCGCCATTGTTGTGTTGCTCGCTATCTACGCCCTGACCGCCGTCTTCTTTTATATTCCCCAAGCCGCCCTTTCCGGTGTTATCATCCACGCTGTCGGCGATTTGATTACGCCCCCCAACACTGTGTACCAATTCTGGCGCGTCTCACCCCTTGATGCAATCATTTTCTTCATCGGTGTCATCGTAACTGTCTTCACCTCGATCGAGGATGGCATCTACTGCACTATCTGCGTCTCCGTGGCTGTCCTGCTTTTCCGCGTTGCCAAGGCCCGCGGTCAGTTCCTGGGCCGTGTTACCATTCACTCCGTTGTTGGCGATCATCTGATCCAAGGAGATGGCAAGTATGGACCGGGTGGTTTCCCCGAAGCCCCCGACAGTGAGGGCGAATCCCGTCGGTCTATCTTCCTTCCTCTTAACCATACCGATGGCTCAAACCCCGAGGTTGAGGTGGAACAACCGTACCCCGGTATCTTCATTTACCGTTTCTCTGAGGGCTTTAACTACCCCAACGCAAACCACTACACCGACTACTTGGTTCAGGCAATCTTCCGCCAGACGCGTCGCACCAACCCGTTCTCTTACGCTCGTCCCGGTGATCGGCCTTGGAACGACCCCGGCTCTCGCAAGGGCAAGGAAGAGAGCCGCTCGCAACGGCCCATCCTCCGCTCCATCATCCTCGATTTCTCGTCGGTTAATAATGTTGATGTGACTTCCATCCAAAACCTGATCGATGTTCGCAACCAGCTCGATCTCTATGCCTCTCCTCGCACTGTGCAGTGGCACTTCGCTCATATTAACAACCGCTGGACGAAACGAGCACTGGCAGCCGCAGGTTTCGGTTACCCGACTCCTGCTTCTGATGACGGGTTCCACCGGTGGAAGCCGATTTTCAGTGTGGCTGAGATCGAAGGACGGGCGTCTGCTGCGGCACATGCGGAGATGGTTAACAATGAGCATGCCCACCAGAACGCCGTCAAGCGTGACCTCGAGGAGGGACTCAAACATGAGACCCACATGACCGAGCGCGAGGCGTCCGGAATTGACATTGAAGCGTCGTCCGACAACAGCAGCACGCCGGACGACAAGCTGGCACGCGATCTCAAGGACAGTAAAGCATACCGCAATCGACGCAAGGCGGCGGTGGTGCAGGGCATCAACCGGCCATTCTTCCACATTGACTTGACGAGTGCGCTCGAGAGTGCCTTGGCCAACTCGCCTCCGGAAGAGCCTATTGAGGAGCCAAGCGCATGAGTCGATCCGCGATCGGTATAGAAGATGAACGATCCTCCCTGGCTGGAGCTTCGAGATGATTATATTTCATGGTTTTTTCTTACCTGGGGTTTTGCTTTGGAGCGAGTCGGTTTTACGATTTTATTTACTGTCGATTGAAGCTATACCCCTGATGTCTCGCTATGTGTATACAGATAGACTCGTTCAAGACGTACATATATTGTTTAATGCGTTCATGCTGTCCGAACCCCGTCCTATAGAATAGATTCTCAGAAGATATTTGTTGAGCTCAAAATTCATAGTAATCGAAATATAACGTTAGTTAAGAGGCTGAGTTGGCTGACTCCTCGCAGTCCTTACCGCATTCGGTAGGGCTTGCGCATAGTTACCATTCCGGCCAATCAGACGGGCACGCATTGCTTGCTCGAAACGGCCCTACATTTGACTGGGATGCTCTTGACATCGATCATGTTGACATCCTTTGTGCCTCGCACTGTTGGCTCGAACGAGATATATTGTCTAGACCACACAGCCTCAGTCGCACTCGACTGAGCATACGAGGCTAAGTTGGATTCTTCATATATAAGTACACAATGGCATCCTGTAGTACCTTGATTCCATCAGCAGCCCGTTCAGCCTTTTCTATATCAGGCATCTCTCACCATTATCATACTATATTCTGTTGAATATACTTCTAGACTGACGGGCTACCGATATGATTAGAGCTTACAAGTACATATCGCAGAAGACGAAAGACTCCAAGTCCCTCGCACCAAAGCCACTTTGTGCACATCGCTCGCAATGGTACCAACTAGAGTCGAGGAACCGCGAAGATTCTGTGTCTTTGGGAAGGCCTAGGTCTGGCTCCACAAAAGAACTGAATCCTGCCACAGACATCGAGACATGCGGCCTGTGCAAGGAGCAAAAGCATAATGCGCGAGTGTATCGCGTCAAACTCATTGCTGGCCTCACCCTGCCGTTTACTCTCTCCACACTGGACTTGACCATTGTTGCTACTGCGACCTCGACTATTGCATCTCACTTTAGTGAGTCAGGCTCTTGTGTTTAACTGTTTCTTGCTGACCCTTCTCGTTGTTTCTAGACCAATTCGACGAGCTGAACTGGATCATTACCGCCTTTAGTCTCACATCGACCACCTTCATTCCCATATTCGGTCAGCTTGCCGATGTTTTCGGGCGTCACATTGTACTACAGACGGCATTGTTTCTCATGCTTATTGGAAGTGTCTTGTGTGCAGCTGCGCAGACATGGGGTATGCTGCTGCTCGGTAGGGCTTTGCAGGGTATAGGCTCTGCAGGTCTTAACAATATCATCATGATTGTTCTGGCCGATAAGGTGTCTTTGAAGGAGAATGCAAGGAATAAGTCTCTATTTACCCTTTTTGGAGGAGTGGGATATGCTGTCGGCCCGATTATTGGAGGGTAAGTGTTCGTCTAAGGAATGATATGAACACTACTGATGACTGCATTATAGGTATCTTACTGATGTGGGTAGCTTGGTTGTATGCCGACGTTTACTTTTGCTGACAAAAACAGAGCAACTGGCGATATTGCTTCGTTGTGCCTATTCCTGTAAGTCTGGCACTATCTTTCCCCATGCAAAGCCTCACAATTATCAGATCGCTGTCCTCAGTCACATCATGATTTTCGTGCTGTTGCGGAACGACCTTGTCGAAGGAACCATGTTCAAAAAGGGCTCAAGATGGTCCTCGATACTCCCAGCACTTGCTACCATAGATCTCGGAGGATCGGTCCTTTTCATATTCGGTGTTGGTCTTATCATCCTGGCCACTACGTGGGGTGGCGCCACTTATCCCTGGTCGTCTCCTCAGGTGCTGGCGCCATTGATCATCGGTGCAATCTGCTTCATTGGATTCTTCGTGTACGAGTACCTCCTTGAGCCAGGTAAATTGTTTGCACGCATCTTCCCGAGACACGTAGCGATGCTTCCATACAGCCTGTTCGAACGAAGGGATACAATCTGGCTTGCCATAGTGAACTTTTCCACTGGCGTAGGTAGGAGACACATCCATCCATACTACACTCTCACAGCCGCTGACTGCATTAGCCTCCTACTCCATCTTTTACTTTATTAGCATCTACTACATCTTGGTAGCAGGCTACTCTGCATCAAAAGCAGGCCTAGACCTCTTATACTACATCCCCGGACTAGGAGGTAAGACATCTACCAAGTGAGATCTGCAAGTCACTGGTTAACATGCGTATAGCTGGTGTCTATCTAGCAATCTACTTCTGCAACGGGTTCCCTCGCCAAACATTCTTCCCTCTCCTCCTGGGCGCTGTGCTTATCACTGTCGGTCTTTCCGTAGTGGCCTATGCCATCAGCGCACAAAAGACCAGCCTGCTAAGCGGAATGGTAGTCATCACCGGCGCAGGAGTCGGACTGCGCCTGATGCCCTCATCGCTCCACACGGTAGGCATTTGGCCAGAGCGGATAGCAGCAGCCATGTCCTTGATGCAGGTTTCGCTTCCCTTTGGGGGCACGCTCGGCTTGACCATCATGACCAGTGTATTCAACAACAAATTCGGCCGCTCCTCTGCCATAACGGGCCTGGAGGGCACGGGCAGCTCGCTGAACGTCCACGATACCAACTCATTAGCATACCTCGACAATCTGCCCGCAGCCGTGCAAGACAGCGTTCACATGGCTGCTAAGGATGCCATCATGTGGGCGTTCGTCTCGATCATCCCCATATTAGGATTGAGTCTCATAACGACTACACTTATGGGCAACGTCTGGGTGAACGTCCGAGCGAAGAACGACGGAGAGCATGCCGGAGGCAACAATATCGAAGATGGACAAACCGAGGTCATCCACGTTCCGTATCTATGGGCTCTAGCCAAGGTACATCGTCTCTTCCTTCCTTCCATACCAGAGATAATGCTAATAAATCAAACCCCACAGGGCACCATAACCACCCACAAGCGCATCAGCAAGCCCATCTCATCATCATCGCCACCACCACTCCCTCTACACCACAACACCGCATAAACACCCTAGATAGCATAGACCCATAGAATTATACATGTATACATAACACACATCAATAAATACACCATCTAAACCACCTATTATCCCCCTTCTCACCCCCCATCTTCCATCTTCCATCTCCCTCATACCTCCCACCGAGTAAAAACGAAAATCACCTCAAAACCCCCCCAACACCCGCCCACCCAAGCACAAACCCACTAAGCGCCTCCCCCAACACCCCACCCCCAAACCAAACATCCCTCCAAGCCGCACGTCTCATCATCCCCCCACCCTTAGTACCACCACCACCGACGACGCCCCTTTCATCCATACCCTCGATTTCCCCATTCGCCCCAGCAAAATACATCCCCGCGCCGAGCCCCCCCGAGCGATAGAGTAACAGGGCGTGGAACAGCGCGGACACGAAGACCGTTCCCAGGAGGTAGAAGAGGAATCCCGTGGCGGATTGGAGGGAGAGGATTCCGGCTGTGAGACCCAGGAGGAAGGAGGTGAGGGAGTGGAGGGAGGATAGTGTCTATATAATTATTTGGTTAGATTGGTAATGTATGGTTTTAAGTGGGAGGTTGGTGGTTTTGGGGATGCGGGATGCGTTACCCTGTTGTTGTGTTGGAGGGATTCGGGGACGAGAGGGTTGATGAGGAGGGAGAGTTCTTGTTTTGTGGGTGGCATTTTGAATCTTCTATTATGTTGCTTTTGGTTTGGAGGGATGTGGGTGGGTGGATGGGTGGTTGATGTTGGTTGTGGTAAGTAGGTAGATAGCTAGGTAGGTAGCTGTGATATGATGTTGGAGTTGGAGATATTGCCGGCTGGTTCCGCCTTTGGGAGTTCTAGTACTTTATTTCTCTTAGATTATTACGAAGTACAGGGATTGGTAGACTATGAAGTAACTAGAAAAGTGTCTACTGTAATCTGCCATGATTGCAACAATTATATTTACCAAAGCCATGATGATTATACCATTAACATCCTAGCCGTCATAACACGACATGCTGAGACACAGCCCCACGCACGTCTACATGAACATGTGAATACATCCATACAAACAATAAGTCAATAAGTCAGTCAAGTCGGTCACTCATCCAACTGCCCCAATGGCGTTCGAATCCCATTACTAGACAACTTCCTTCCAAGATTCATTTCCGATGAGATCGCTCATAGGTTCATTTCGGATCCTGCCACTTATGCCCAAAGCCAATCTAGTCAATTAATGCAATAGAGAGAATGTAAGCAGAAACGTTAAGTCAAGACGATGAATGAATGGCTGCATTTCGTCACGCGATGTTGTCGAGCTTGCCCTCGGCTTTGGCTTCTCTGACTTGTTCGAAAACCTACAGAAATTAGCATAACCCTAACCATCTAGGCAATATTCTATATGACTCACCTTGAGCATCTTGTTTCTGGCACCCAGAGCATTGACGCCGCGGTCTTCCAGCGCCTTGTCGTTCAGTTCGACAAGCTCCGTCCACTTCAAGTCCTTCAGGTTTTCCGTGTACTTGTGCAGCCGCAGCGATCTCAGCCAGCTGGGAATATCCTTCAACAGGTTGGGGTCCGTGGGGTCCTCCGGCGGCTTCGAGCTACCGCGACGACCACGCGGGGACCGGCCGCGAGCCACTTCCGAGTGGTCCGAGAGGTAGCCCTCCGGACCTCCCAGGCCAAACTGCCCGATGCCGAGTGCACCCAGGCCGTTACCTATGAGCGGGTTGTTCGGGTCATATGCCGCCAAGAAGCCGTTGTTCTGCGGCGAAGTGAAGCCCATCGGACCAAGTCCGCCAGCACCCTGCATGGCGATTCCAGGCGACGTCGGGCGGGAGCGACGACCCGCCATCGCGGCCTGCTGCTGTGCCTGCAAAGCCGCCAGCTGCTGAGGGTTCAACAGCTGTCCGGCAACCAGGTGATTGTGGCCCGGGAGGCCCGGGCTAGCCAGGCCACCATGAGACATGCCGTGGCCGGCGTTGGCCGAGTTCTTACCCTGGCCATCGTTGGAGCGAGCCCGACGGTACTTGCGAGCATCATCAAGTGCAATGCGGTTGTTGACGGTCGACAGTGCGGCCAGCTTCATCGCAGTCGCGTTGGCCACCATATCGGCCTGCGAGTTCTGCTGGGGCTGCTGCGATTGCTGGCCAAAGGTCGCCGTCATGGGGGTGTTGGTCATGGAGGCCCAGCTGGCATTTCCAACATTGTACGGCGAGAGCAAGGGAGCATCAATTTCGGGGGCAGGAATCGTGGCGGTTTGGGTAGGGAGCGGAGAGCGCAGGCTCGAAGGAGTCTGGCTGAATTGGCCCATGGGCTGATGGCCGGACGAAGACTTAGGACGAGCGATAGGGGGTTGCGGCTCAGATCCGCGCTGGGCCCAGGGCGAAACCGGAGGCTGGCCCAAGCTGTCGTTGCTGTTGTCCGGAGCGGAAATGGTGGGTGCCACAAAGGAAGTCCGATCGAAGACAGCGCTGTTGCGGTTCGAGGGCGGAGCATTGCCCGTTTGCTGGGTGAACTCAGCCTTCTTCTTCGCGATCGCCGCCGCGGCATCAGGGAACATGGCATTGATGGTGGACGAGTCGAGTCCGGAGTTGCGCTTGGCACCCGGGGACGGCGGGGGGCGACCGAGAGAGCTCCGGGAGCTGTCCACGTTCAACTTGGACATGGCATCGTTCAGGCGGTTAGACATGGCATCTGTCGAAAAATCATTGTTAATACCTGCCATGCTTGCCTGGTTTGGTATGCAACTTACCCTTCTCACCAAAGTTGGCTGGAGACAACAGTCCCGACATGGGATGGCTCTTGGCCATCTGCTGCAAAACCTGGATGAAGAAACGAATCTGCACCTGAGTGGTCTGCTGCAGCAGAGCGTAAAGGGCAGCAGTCCTCTCCGCCTCGCTGAGGACCCGGAACCACTGCTCGATGGCGCTAAGCTCATCCTTGAAATCCTGGTCCAGCGTGGCAGCGGCCATTTCTTCCAATGTAGTCTCGTACTGATCAATGTCCGCAAGCCACTGCTGAGCCGCGCGGTCCAACGGATCCTCCGCGTTGTTCGACGCCTGAGACTGTTGATTGAAGTACACTTCCGAGGAAGGACGGATACTGCGGGATGACAGAGGAGACGGGAAGCCCGACATATCGGCCGATGCACGAAGCTGGTGCGATCCTAGATTCCGAGACGACGATGGAGGACGAAGACTGGACTTGGAGGCTTCAGGCGTGCTGTTGCGGTTGCCGATGATATGGCTGGCCATAAGTAGGGATTGAATGAGGGTAGGATTCTGGAACAAGGAGGGTCAAAGGAAAGTCTCGGAATAAGACTTTCTTTTCTGAGTGTCTTTCCCCTTCAAATCGGTCTCCCTTTACGCGAGGCCTGGATGAAAAATAAATACAGAAAGAGAAGAATTACTGCAAAACACCTGCAGCACCTGCTGAGTTTGCGTGTCGTGAGGGTTGGTCGGAACAGGAGGTCTTTCTTATTTTGGTCGCAGGCTGGGAGATAGCGTATCACCCAGGAGACAAAGGATCAAAAGCGAGAAATCTCTCTAAGGACGGAGACACTTTTTTTCGGTTGGAGGTGAGAAACCCAACTGTGTTGGTTCTGGACAATGACGTTTGGGGCACAGACCAGTCCAGTGGCTGCACTGCCCGATTCGGATTCTAGGAAGAGGAATCAAGCGAATCGCAAGAGCATCAAAGGAGGTGTTTCGATCAATCGATTGGAGAGAGAACGAGAAAAGACAGATGGCCGGAAGAAAATCCTCGGTGGATGGCGAGAGAAAAACGCGGCGACTTCCCGGGTAGAATTAGTGTAGGGGAAGTGTGGGTTGCGCTTTTTTTTGACTTTTCTTTTTCTTTTTTTTCTTCTTTTTTAACGAAAGGATGTCAGGGTTATCTGCAATAGTGTGTCAAACACAGCAAGCAAGATACCTAGAACATCAAATAAAAAGGAAAGTAAAAAGAAGAAAAAAAGGGGGGGAGCGAAGAAGCAGAAACCTGATGGACGAGGGAGGTGAGGGAAGATGGGGGGGAGGAGGTGGAGGAGAAAGAGAGAGTTAGATGGATTGGGGGGGGAGAAGGGAAGAGGGAGAATAAGACCGAGACACAGAGGGAGTCGAAGAAAGGCGGAAAAGAAGATGGAGAGAAGCAACAGAACAAGTCAAGAACGAAAGAAACAAGAAGCGAAACGAAAAAACGACACTTTGCCGTGGCGGGCGTAAGAAAAAGTCACCGGATTGGCTGGTTTGGGTTGTGTTTGGCTTGATTTGTTCTCCGCCGAACGAACCTCTTTTCTTTACTTGCTTCTTCTTCTTCGGCTGTCCAGATACTCCAGGACTTCAATCATCATCGACATTCTAATATCTTCTGTAACATTGACTATATCGACAATTTCATCGTTCAAGATCTGGTCATATCTTCTCCTTCCATCTGACCTATCTTACTTCTATATCCCACTGCCTCCGACGCGTCCCAGTCGGCCGGTCTGGCCGGTTTTCTGCATCGGCAAGTTTAGTCTGGGATTGGCGGCGCTTACATGTTGCTATGAATAAACCCTCCAGGTCCGTGATCCGACCTTCCTTTATCGCTCCGCCTTACCCTTTGTCTTGTGCGCCTCCCTTGGATTCTCGAATGTTTCTAAACTGCCTTGTCTAGACGCTATTGCAACGCCATCCAACCGTGTTTTTGGACTCAAGCCCCAATTGCTTGTCCGTTTGCTGTGGCTCCACTACAACCCAATGATGATCGCTTCTTTGTCGCATAGTCTTACACAACACTCCCCGATATCTTTGAGACGACTGAGACGACACCTCGGCTAGTCTGTCTGCTTACTTAGTGATCTGCGCCTCAGAGGAGGTCTATGTTTAGTTTCCAGCCAGTCTTTGCACTCTAGGGGCCAGTGGCCGGCAAAGTCTTGCTACACAAAGTCCGTATTAGTAAAGTCACCTGAATACTTGTATCCCAAAATGGATTACCCGGACGACCATCACCCACATCACCAACCTCCCTCGCAGGAGTACGTCTATCCCGATATTGATGAGACGGTACATTACCCATGGCAGGGAAGCCAGCCAACCACGCAAGGAGAGGCCTCCATTCACTCCGTCCTGGACCCACGCCTGTATAAGGACCTTTTCACAGGTAACGCCTCGCAGGTGCAAGATGAGGCTTCCTTTGAAGAGGATGCAGAGGCGTATCAAGAAGCAGACGATTCGGGCGAGTCCCTCTATACGTTGTCTTCGGAGGAGAGCTCAAGGTTAGTGTCACGATTTCATGCCAGTGCCCTAATCTTACTGTCTGTCGCTGACCGCACCCAGCGAGGAAGAATTCTCTAACCAGGCCGAGGAAGACGACGATGGCTACGGTCGGAGACGTCGCAGGGGCACAGGTCCCTTCTCTGGTCGATATGGTGCTCGCGGCGGAAAGGGCATCCGGAGAGGACCGCGCAAACCACTAGAACCGAGCCCCGAGTTCAAGATATTGCATTCGGAGGCAACCTCTGCCTTCATCGATGGTGATTATGACCGTGCCATTGATCTCACAAAGCGCGCCATTCAGGTTAACCCCGAGATGTTCGCGGCACATTCGCTCTTGTCTGAAATCTTCCTGGCCCAAGGCGAGAAAGACAAAGCGTTGACCGCGTTGTTCAGCGGCGCTCACACGCGGCCCAAGGATCCTACTGTATGGGCTAAAGTAGCAAGGATGATCCTCGAACGTGCCGGGGAGGAACGTCAAGGCGCACTGAATGACGTTATTTACTGCTATAGCCGCATCATCGAGTTGGATCCGAAAAATTACAATACTCGATTCCAGCGAGCAGCGATTTACAGAGAATTGGGCTACAATGGACGAGCAGCGACAGAGTATGAGCGTATCTTGAAAGAAGTCCCACACAATGCTAGGGCGCTTCGACACCTTGCAGAAACTTACATCGACCTCAACGAGGTCCAGAAAGCCGTGGACCAGTGGCGGGTGAGCGTGAAATACTTTACGTCCTTGGAACCGGAAGATGCTCCTGAGTTCTCTTGGTCCGATGCCAACATTTACGCCGAACTATACAGCTATTTGGGCCGACCATTCGAAGGCCTCAAAGCCCTCAAGTCTGTCTCTCGATGGCTCCTAGGCCGAAAGGACGACACGATGTGGGAGGAATTTCATGAGGATGATCGGGAATGGGATGCGGATGATTCTCCTCGACGCATCAAGGCTGATGGATACGAACCTCGAAGGTGGCCTCGAGATTCGTACGGTCTTGGTCTACCACTGGAGTTGCGGATTAAGCTGGCACTCTTTCGTTTGCGAATGGGGTACGAGCACAAGGACGAAGCTCTGGTAAGTGTTTCAGTACACAATTAGTAGCCGGCCTAATTTCTGACGCACGAACTAAGCACCACCTCGAATGGCTAAATCCGGAGGACACATCCGAAAATGCCCGGTTGTACGATTATGGCGACCTTTTCCGAGAGGCCGCTGATGCGCTCAAGGACGTCGGGCTTTTCGAAGAGGCACTGCGATTCTACATGCCACTCCAACAAACAAACGAGTACGCAGATGTCGGCTTTTTCATGGCAATGGGAGAGTGTTGCAGTGTATTGGGCAAGCTTGAAGATGCCGAGAACTGCTTTCTTACGGTTGCGGAGCACGATGCACGGCACGTGGAATCCCGTGTGCAGCTGGCAAAGCTTTATGAGGGCATTGGTATGTCGGAAGAGGCTCTGAAATACGTCAACGAAGTGGTCCTGCTAGGAAGGCAGGAGAGCCGTAGTAACCGCCGGCGCAAGGACACGAGGCTGGAACAGCTCGCCGTGGAATTCAAGGCCGCCGATACGGCTCGTGAAGACGCTGCCTTGAGATCAATCGCACCTCAGCCCACAAGCGCTGACCTGCCGACTGCTCTGACTACTACTGCACCAGCTGCAAAGGACACTGAGATGAATGAAGAGCAAAGGATAGCAAATGTGCAATATCTCTATGGCAAGTTGATGCAGCTGCTTCCGCAAGCGAAAGAAGGCAACGCAGAAGCCACGGAGGACTGGCTGGATATCGCAGACGCTTTGCTGCGCGAATTCCGGTCCAACCGAGTATTCTATCCTATTCAACGCAACATAACCTTCTTGGGATATTCGCGCGAAGCACAGAGAAAGGCGGGGAGGCACAAGGGGCGCAACTTCATCGATGAGATGCAAGAAATGGCTGGGCGTCTCCAAGAGTCTTTAGGTAATGGATGTCCTTCTGTGACATTGGGGCATAGCTAATCGTTATCTAGGGAGTATTCCTGACGAGCCTCTTCAAGGGGCTATACCGACTGACTACTATGGAATCAGCTTCAATGAATGGCTCGACCTCTTCTTGCAGTATGCCCTCACTGTGGCGGCGCAAGGAGAATCCGACGAAGCGTACGACACGCTCGCAGCCGCTGCGGATGCCAGCGTCTGGTATCACTCCAAAGCCGACACCCGCATGATTCATGTTTGCTGGTTCAGTGAGTATCTACTGTATTATATTCTCCACGAGATACTGACCTTCCTAGCTTGTGCGCTCCGGATGCAGGACGAAGAAACGCTAGCAAATGAAGCACGATGGTTTATCAAGGAGTACCAATTCGTGACTGACACTTATCGCTTGTTCGCCATGTTGAGCCGGCTCGTCGGTGATCCTCACCGGTCATTGTTCCACTCGTCACCAAATATGAAGTTTATGCTGCGCCAGATCAAGGCTATGGACTTTACTATACCGGATGAGATTACAGGGGAGCGACCAAATCGGTTCGTGCGTGAGTCGGCTTACAAGGAACGCGCATCCTTGTCCACGCGGGACGAGACAACGGGCGAAGCTATTCCGGCAGATGAAATGGACATTGCCCTCCTTGTGCTGTACGGCCACATTCTTTACTCGGGAAACAGTTTCTACCCAGCACTGAATTACTTGTTCCGCGCCTATGCACTGGATGATCAGAACCCAGCCGTCCTGCTCTCCATCGGCCTCTGCTATATCCACCACTCACTCAAGCGCCAGTCCGAAAACCGTCACTATCTCATCATGCAGGGGCTGTCATTTCTGCAGGAATATCGACGCGTCCGTGAACGACCAGGAAGTTCTCTGTCAGAGCGGCAAGAGATGGAATTCAACTTTGCGCGCGTCTGGCATAGCTTAGGAATCGCTCATCTAGCAATAGAAGGCTACCAGCTTGTGCTAGATCTCGGCGCACAGATCCAAGCGCAATCCCAACAAACGAACTCTCACCCGAAGGATGGCGGCGATGTCGTCATTGGCGATACAGGGCTAGAAGCGCACGCACCGTACGTGGAGGACTTTTCGCGGGAAGCAGCGGTAGCGCTGCAGATTATCTATGCCCTAAATGGCGATTACCAATCAGCCCAGAAGGTCACGGCCAAATGGCTGGTAATTTAGCCAATCAATTTTGGTGGCGAATCATTGAGGTCCGGGGTCACCTGTACACTGTGTACCAATACCTACTGACTGTACATAACGACCTAATTAATCCTTTAGTTCAACTACTAATGCCGCGAAGCAAAGTGAGATGGATGGGTGGATGCTCTGCTAATGCACGCTCAGGACCCGGATAGAGTAGTACCTTGGACTCAGACCTCCATCAGCTTATGCACGTACTTTGTCCTTC